AAAACGGGCCTACTGTGCCCACCATGCCATCACATGCCAAAAGCAGGGGGGAGCATGAGGGGGGGTCTCGCATGTGTGCGTGGGGGGGGGCAGGGCTCATAGAATTATGAGTGTGGGCACGCATGCACGTGATCACCCCGCACTCCCCCAGCTTTTGGCACGCGATAACAAAAAGGTTAGCCATCACTGTCCTACAGTTAGTCCTCAACTTACAACAGTTCATTTAGTGACTGTTTAAAGTTGCAATGACACTGAAAAAGTGACCTATGACTGTTTTTCACATGACTATTGCAGCATCCCCATGGTCATATAATCAAAATTCAGATGCTTGGCAACTGACTCATATTTATGACGGTTGCAGTGTCTTGGGGGTCATGTGATCACCTTTTCTGACCCAACAAGCGAAGTCAATGGGAAAGCCAGATTCACTGAATGATCTAATAACTGCAGTGATCCACTTAACGACTTTGGTAAGAAAAGTTGTACAATGGGGTAAAATTCACTTAACAAATGTCTCACTTAGCAACATAAATTTTGGGCTCAATTGTGATTGTAAGTTGAGGACTAACCGTATTGCTTTTCTTATGTTTAAATGGAGATTGCATCTTGAGCCTTCCAGGCACTTAGGATTCCTATCCATGGACATCCCGGGGTACCAAAATTTCCAAGCCACTGGATGTGGTGAAGATTCATTATCTTGCATTTCGAATCCGGATGTCAGCTCTACAGGTATAGTTCTTGACTTACAACCATTCATTTAAAGACCATTTGAAGTTACAGCAGCACTGAAAAAAGTGACTTACCACCAGTCCTCACACAACCATTGCAGCATCCCCACAGACATGTGATCAGAATTTGGGTGCTTGGCAACTGGTATGTATTTATGATGGTTGGAGCATCCCAGGGTCATGTGATTTGCAACCTTCCAACAAGTAAAGTCCATGAGGAAAGCCAAATTTTCTTACCAACCGCACAATTGACTTAACATGTGCAGTGATTCATTTAACAACTATGGCAAAAAAGATCATAAAATTGGATGTGACTCACTTAAAGAACCGTGGTGGTGCAGTGGTTAGAATGCAGTATTGCAGGCTAATTCTGCCCATTGCCAGCAGTTCGATCCTGACCGGCTCAAGGTTGACTCAGCCTTCCATCCTTCTGAGGTCAGTAAAATGAGGACCCAGATTGTTGGGGGCAATAGGCTGACTCTGTAAATCACTTAGAGAGAGGATCTGTAAAGCACCGTGAAGTGGTATATAAGTGCTATTGCTGTTTTCCTTCCTTCCTTCCTTCCTTCCTTCCTTCCTTCCTTCCTTCCTTCCTTCCTTCCTTCCTTCCCTCTGCTCACTGCCAGCAGTTCGATCCTGACTGGCTCAAGGTTGACTCAGTCTTCCATCTTTCCAAGGTCGGTAAAATGAGGACCCAGATTGTTGGGGGCAAGAGGCTGACTCTGTAAAGCACTTAGAGAGGGCTGTAAAGCACTGTGAAGCAGTATATAAGTCTAAGTGCTATTGCTATTGCTATTAATAACTGCCTTGCTTAGCCATGGAAATTCTGCTCCCGATTGTGATCATGAACGTGGGTCCAAAATATCTAAAGGGATGCTTGGACTAGGGAATCCAATACCTGGTTCAGTTCTCCATTCAAGACATTAATCATCTATGTCTGCTACACAACCACAAATTAGCCAACCTGTCAGCCCTTTGAGGTAAACCAGGTCACCAAACAGACCACAAAAAATCCTAACAGTCTACTGAATTGGCATAGGCTGTAATAACATCTTGAAAACCCAACTGTGTTTCTGTTTCAGAGAGTTAAGGACAGTGATCTTGAGTTTCTTATTCACCCCTCCTCTCTTCCAGGAGAAACTGATGTTTTTGTAATGGTTGCTGCACTGTGTTCTTCCTTCAAGGCCATCTCTGTGGTAATATTTCTAATATTCGTGCAAATTGAGCCTATGTTTGGGTTAACAAGATATGCAGGACTCCCAATTACCCTGGAACAGTCAAAGCTAGCATGGGTTTTAAACCTAGCTAAATGTCATGTAAACCAAGAAAATTGAGCTTAATCACTCTTAAGTACATCACATAAACACAGCCAGAGTATGAACCCAGGCAAACCATTTTTGTTGGGCCTGACCCAGTTGAGTGCAGGAAAAAAAGCTGTCTGGTGATTCTGTCCCGAAGAGAAACGTTAATAAATAAAAAGAAATTGTCCTTTTCAAAAGTAGAAGGGTTAAAAAAATAAACTCTTTCCTCTACAATAATATTTCTCAGCTTTGGCAATTTTTAAGATGAGTGGACTTCAACTCCCAGCATTCCTCAACCAGCATGCTGCCTGGGGAATGCTGGGAGTTGAAGTTCATCCATCTTATAATTGCCAAGGCACACTGCTGTGGTGAATATTAATGTTTCTCCTCTGCAAGTCAGAGGCAAAGCATCTCTATATTTCATATTTGTAATCTCTGATGCATTTAAATAAAAAAACAATTACCCGTGGCACACTCCCTTTCTAAGCCTGAGGGTAAAAAGAACTGTCTGGAGCTTCCATTGGGCTAGGCCAGTGATTCTCAACCTTGGCCAATGTTAAGATGTATGAACTTCAACTCCCAGAATTCCTTGTGTTGGCTGGGGAATGCTGGGAGTTGAAGTCTTAACTCTTAAAATGGCCGAGGTTGAGAAGTACTAAGCTAGGCAGAGGCAGTGAAAGAAAATCTACTCACTGCAGAAAGGAGCGTGTGTGTTTTTTAAGAAAGAATGCAGAGCCGTTTCATCTTCTCTCCCACAATATTTAGAAATTTTCCCTACCACAAAGAGAAACTGGCTTTACCCAACATTCTCCCCTTTTGTGCTAGTTTTGTTTTCATTTTCATTCAGGTTTGCTTTATTTTCAAATAAACATTCTGCAGAGAGCAGCTTTTATCTGAGAAGGGATACTCTATCCCAGTCTCCTTATAACAGGATCAGGGATCAGTCCATCCTCTCCCAGCTGCTGCAAAACAGCAAGGCAGCTGTCACTTCACATGCACACAGAGAAAAGAACAGATTTTAAAAATGGGTGATATAATCAGAAATCAGTGCTTCCAGAGAGTTAAACTAAAACTCATTGCACAAACCAAGTGTTGCTGTGACAGCTCTTGCAAAATATTTTCATTTTCGTTTCATTTTCGTTTTCAAAACTCAAGAGTTGCCAGGTGTCCACTATTTGAGCCGACAGTCCGCTTTTTTCACATTATGTTCACTATTTTTTTTCACAAAATAGTGGACATTTTTTTTATTCAAAAGCTTTATGATGAAATGGTATGTAATCTAAAGCTGTACAGTCTAAGAGAATAAGGATAGGAGAATCGCGTTTTGTCTTTTTTTTCATAAGTTAGAATGAGACAAAGATTGAATATCCATTGAACTCGATTCTCCGAAAAAATTAATGATGAGATTAAAATAAAAATATATTATAAAATTATGTACAGTTCACATTTTTAAAATGTATTGTAGCTTGTGTCGACTGACCTAAAATGGCGTGTTAAAATGTTTGTAAGAAAATATATAATTTAATTGTAAATTTTTTTTAATTTTTTTACTACTTACCCACCCCCCACCCCCACCCCGCTTATCCGCTATTTTTTGGAAGCAGACCTGGCAACCCTATTTACCAATAAAGGAGAATATTTATAGCTCAGGGTTGACATGAGGGTCCTTGGTGCTCTCTGAGCGTGCTTGTTTTCTTGCAGAAGTTTCATTACCCAAACTAAATAACACCATCAGTGGTAGAAGGGAGTGGGGTCTTGTACTGAAGATGTAACCTAGTTTGGTAATGAAACGTCTGCATGAAAAAAACCAGGCTCAGAGAATATCAAGGGCCCCTCATTCTTTAGCTTTCCATTTATGATCAGTTGCAGCATCTTACTCTTATGTGATTGTGATTTGCTACCTTTTTTGCCAATTTCTGTAAAAAAATGCATTTAGGAAGCTGGTTTCATTTAAAGACCGTGTGATTTGCTTAACAACCACAGTGATGTGCACACAACTGCGGTAAAAATCGTCACAAAAGTAGGTCTAACTCGACTAATCACTGCAACAGCTTACAATGGAAATTCTAGTCCCAATTTTTGACGTACGTCGGGGGCTGCTTGTACATAACATGGCTTTAAATGGGAATTAAATAAATCCAAACAAAACAAGTACATATATATTTATAAAACAATAAAAGTGGGTTAAAAATAAATATCAAGGATTATCAGTTTTCAAGACTCCGTGTTATCACTGGAGGAAGGAGGCCTCCAAATATTTGGAATAATTCCACGTACAGAGAGAAGTATTCACATTTTCCCACTTGTGAGTACTGTATCCTTCGGGCATATCAGAATCAGCTGGCCTACAGATGATGTGAATAAAATCAAGATATAAATCTGGTTGGCTGCTATGAGAAAAATGCTAACTAAGATGGTCCTTGGATTGATCCCTCAAGGCTAATCTTGTTCTCCAGAAAGCCTTTAGATAAGCCTTTCCCCATTATAATTTCATGGAATTTTTAATAAGCCAATCCAAGGTTTTGCCACCCACACAGCCAGAAGTTCAGAATGTGCATCTCTAATTAAGAAGAGGCATTATCACTTTTCCTTCACAGAAAATAGGATACCTCTTTTAACACTGTGCGATGCATAAATGGACCCTCTAAAGACAAAGGAAGTATATCTTGTTCTTCTGTTTCATTTTATTTGTGTGAAAACATGTGTAAACTTATGCAAAGAGGTGCAGAATGCATCAGCTACGAAGAACCTCACACGATCTTGTAAATTAGATTTTTTTTTTTTAATCAGGCGAATTAAGTCCTGAAACATTTCTGTAAAGGTGTATCTGTAATAAATGTAAAGTTATTCAGGACTGAATCTCCCAATTTCTTTCTTGCAATGAGCACACAAGCACGGATTGTTGATGGAAAGTTTTAGAAACAAAGAAAAAACTTTCAAACTAAAAAAAAAAAATAGTAAAAAATGCCAGTTCCTTTTCACAGCTTTGATTTTTATTGTTTCTTTTCTTTAAAATTTAAATTAATAAACTAAATAAACAACTTTTCCGGATTTCAGACAGACAGAAGGGGTTATTAAAGATACAGATATAGTTAGCAGATACAGGTCTTCAACAAATCTCACCTCAGTTCAACCAAGGCCTTATGCCTTTGTAACTCTCCCCCCAAGAGAAAAGAAAAAGTAGAGTCTAGGAAGAAAAGACAATTTTAAGAGAATTAAAACAAGCCAGGCAGAACAAACAAAGGTACCATGAAGATAGCTTATTTTTTTCACGCAAATAAGTAGATGCAGACATTTTGATGAAAGGTGAATGAACTTCAGAGAGATATAAAATATATATATATAAACCTCCCTAATACTCTTCCCATATGAAGAATGCCAGAATATATTTAAGAGTTAAGACTTTCAAAAATCTAAAAAGTTACTGAATGCAAAAGCAAGCTCCTTTTAGCCATACGAAAGGCTCCGGATTGGCTTCGCCCAGACTTCTTCAACCTGGTGCCTTCCAGCTATGTTGTTGACTTCCCATTCTGGGATTTACAACCCCGATATATCTAGAGGGCACCAGATTGCGGACAGCTCTTGCCCCATACATTTTCAAGCGGTATTTTCAACTCACAATATGCAGCAAACGTCTCTGCAGAAGGGGCTTAAAAGAAGTCAAGATGGTGACCACAACATCATGATCAAAGATCCACCCTTTCTTTGTGTGTTTGTGTGTGTGAGGCTTTGTTTGTGTGGTCACGGACATCACCTTTTTTTTTTCCACATGCACACACAGACACACACCCTGATACGTGAGGAAAGGAGTTTAGAGAGCCAAAAATGGGGTGAGGGGATAAGTTAAATCTATATACAGAGAATCCTTAGGCCGAATGTACAAGCAAGCGGAAAAAATTAACACCAGTTTGTGAGGGAAGAAACTTTTTGCACTTGTGATACTACTGTACACGGGGAGGTTGCAGAAGGGAGAAAGTGGAAGGATGGGCATCGCTCACAAACACATCCTGGGTTCGCAAAAGTGCCCTGCATTCATCAAGGGCAGAATAATAATAATTAATAGAACCAACAACAGTGACAACTACAGCAACGTATCCCTGTTACGACTCAGAGGAGTTTCTGAGTAAAATCAGGGCAGACGATCGGTTGAGAATTATTTTGGAGCAAACTTCGCTTTGCTTCATTGGCCCTGAGGAAGGAAGCCCTTGCACCCCTTTGCTCTTAATTTGTTTCCTCAGCTCAAGTGTTTCCCAATGATGTGGGATTTTTAAGTTAAAAAAGACAGTGCAGCTTTGAGAGGGAACCTTAGACTTTGAGCTTCAGTGTTTAGACACAGTGCACACAGGCTGCCTCCCCTTAGCATACTTAACATGATTACTGAGTTTGCCCATTGTTCTGGATTTGCAGAATAAAACCAACAGGAGAGCTGGTTTGATCTAGTGGTGAAGACACCAGGCTAAAACCCAGGAGACTATGAGTTCTAGACCCGTGATGGTGAACCTATGGCACGCGGAGCCGTATCTGTGGGCACGCGAGCATTGCCCTAGCTCAGCTCCAGCATGCATGCATGTTCTGGCCAGCTGATATTTGGGCCTTCCGGGCCCTCTGGAAGTCAGGAAACGGGTTGTTTCCGGCCTCCGGGGTGGTGGGGAAGGACATTTTTACCCTCCGCAGGCTCCTAGAAAGTCTGTCGAGCCTGGGAAGGGCCAAAAACGACCCTTCCAGTCCCACTGGAAGTCAGGAAATGGGCTGTTTCCGGCCTCCGGGGGGGGGGGGGGGGGGGGGAGAGGCCGTTTTCGCCCTTCCCAGGCTCCAAGAAAGCCTCTGGAGCCTGGGGAGGGTGAAAAATGGGCCTACCAGGCCCACCGTGCCATCACGTGCTAAAAGCTAGGGAAGCGTGGGGTGGGGTCACGCGCACATGCGTGGGGCACATTGAATTATGGGTGTGGGCACACACGTGTGCGAATCCCCCCCCCTGTGCTCCCCCCGCTATTGGCACGCGAGGCCAAAATGGTTAGCCCTCACTGTTCTAGACCCATTTTAGGCATGAAAGCTGGCTGGGTTATTTTGGGCCAATGACCAGGAGACTGTGAATTCTAGTTCCCCCCTCTTAAGTGTGAAAACTGGCTGGGTGACTTTGGGCCAGGTGCCCTCTCTCAGCCCAACCAACTTCACAGGGTTGTTGTTGTTGTTATCTTCGCCACCTTGAGTTATATTATAAAAATAATGAAGAGGGGATTGAAAAAAAACCCACTAACTCCCCACCCTCGCAACTAAATCACAGAGAACTGAACCAAGGTTAATACTACCATAATCAAGCTAATGTGTTGTGTGAATGAAGCTGACAGTTCTTTATCTGACTCAGGAGGCAGAAAGAAACACTGGCATTGCAGTACCAAGAGAGGAATATTTAGTCCCAGAGACCAGGTCCTTGTTGCAGGCCTACAGGGGATCAGCATCAGCATCCTCAGATCAGGAACACCTGCTCTAGGCCAGTTCTAGCTTGTGATCCGATTTTGCCACAGACCCCAAATTCACAGAGTCAAGAGAAGAGGACTCCTGTCACAAGAGAGAAAAAGAAAACAGGGAGAGCCAACAGAGAACAGCTTCTGGAATTTTTTCCAAGCAGTAGCCACGAGTGCCTGGTTTCTTCTGGGCATTGGAATAACGCATTGTGTTTCTGCTCTTTGTTCAACATTGCACCTAATTGTCTCTGAGTGAACTCGGAAACACAGGGTAAATCAGATAAAACCCATTCTGGGTCAGGAGGGCCAAGAGAGAGGAATTTGGAATGGAAGAAGTGGCAGCTCCTGTCGGAGTCCTGTGACCAAGAAGGAGGCGGCTCAAAATGGAGGGAGAGGGCTTAGAATGGAGGACCTAACATTCCATTCTGGATCATGTGACCAAGAGGAAGGCGGCTTAAAATGAAGGACAGCTCCATTCTGGGTCACATGACCAGAAGGGAGGGAACATAGAATGGCGGACCAAACAGCTCCATTCTGGATCATGTGACCAAGGAGGCTTAAAATGAAGGAGGTGGCAGCTCCATTCTGGGTCATATGATCAGAAGGGAAGGATCTTAGAATTGAGGACATGGCAGCATCCCGAGCCGATGCCTAACTGTCTCTCTGTTAGATGAAATGGGAAGGGGGGAGGAGTTTCCCATAGCTCCTATAGCTCCCATACAGGTCTAATCCAATTTCAAGCTCAACCGTCTGTCTTGTCCCCCTATATCCCATATGGTCCCATTCTATTCAGTTTTTGCTGGCAGCCAAAGTCCCAAAAGAGGACTTCAGAAAGAGGCTGGGGAATTCTGGGAGTTGAAATCCACACCAGCTTAAAGTTGCCGAGGCTGAGAAACATTGATCCAGAGGAATCTGTCTTCCCTTTGTATCTTGTTTGTCAAAATATCTTTTGGTGTGGAGTGGAAAAGAAAGAAGGAAGTATAGGCATATAGAAGTATATCTCTGTGGCTTAGAAAGGCATGTCTTTTCTGCCGTGGCTCCTGCCCTCTCAAGCAGCATCCCCACCAAGGTGATAATAGCCCCATTCCTGCTAGTCTTCCAGAAAGCCCTGAAAATGTGGATTTTCCAACCGGCTTGGGGATCCCATCGGGAAGTCCACAGGACCGTTATATTGTGTTTAGATAGATGTTCTCTCTTGCAATCGTACTTTCATTTGAATGCTTAAGTTTAAAAAAAAAAACAGCTATGATATTAGGTGCTAGCTGTAGGCTGCTCAAGAGTCATATTCAAATGAAATGGGCGGCCATATAAGTTTACTATTTAAATAGGAAACTCAGCGCAACCTCTCAAATATGAAAACCATAGTTTCATGCAGTGTGTCAACCTGGGCATTTGTGGCTTCTCAGGAAATCATCGTCCAGGGGGAACCCTATCCTAGTCTGTCAGGCAAATCAGGGCACAGAATTAACAGCAAATTTACCATGATCGGCAACTCTTGACTTTTTCTGCATGGAGTTTTGCCACCAAGGCTCAAATAAAAAGCAGGCATCGCTCCATTAATTCCCCCCCAAAATTCTTTTACACAAAAGAAAACCAGGATAAGCAGCAGCTCCCCAAATGGTGTTGAGGCAGAGGGAATCACCCAGCTTCGCTCAGTAAAATGAAGCAAAAATCCCCCCCAAATTCCCCTGGCCAAGACCTCAGGATCTTATGCTGGGAACAAGCAGGGCTCGTTCAGTTCAAAAATCGCAATGGCAGCCTTTGAAAGCCAGGGTCTCACTAGCCCACTCTTTCTCAACAGCCAAAGTGTTGCTGCTGGGGAAAAGACATGAACTTGGGTGTTCCAGCGGAGCCTTGCAGAAAAATGCTGGGCTTCTCAAGACCTTCCTGGATGAAAGAGCGGTGACCAAATGTGCTATGGCAGGGGCTGAAGCATCACGGCAAGGTTGTTGTGGTTGTTGAGAGGAACTCAGGAGGAAGGGAGAGGAGGATGGGGCATTAAGAGGGCTGGGGGGTGGGGGCAGGGGAAGGCTCTTAGAGGACAGTCTTGTCTAAATCCACCTTGACCGGCAGTAGGCCTGCTTCCTTGTTCTCCTCCATGGGGCAGATGGCCACGGCAATGACGGGGCGTAAGGAATAGGGCACAGATCCGTCTAGGTCTTCCAGGTACTCTTTGTCTCCATTGATGCTCAGGGGCTAGAAGGAAGGATAGAGGATGTTACAAAAAAATGCTGTCGCTATAAGTCACCACATGGTCCTCCTTCTTGGACGGTTTTAGAAGAGGCAGGTTTAATTAAAGAGGAGCCTGGATAGCTCAACAGACAGAGCTCTGTAATTTAACACCAGCTGTCTGCAATTAAAGTAAGTTCGAATCTCCCCAGGCTCAAGGTTGACTCAGCCTTCCATCCTTTCTAAAGTAGGTAAATTGAGGACCCAGTTTGTGGGGGCAATAAGCTGACTTTGTATAAATATACAAAAGGATGAAGGCTATTGCTTAACGCATTGTAAGCCGCCCTGAGTCTCCGGAGAAGGGCGGCATATAAATCAAATTTAAAAAAAATAAAAAAATAAAAATTCAGGTGTGATTTTAATTCAGGTGGTTTAATTCAGGGGTGTCCAACCTTGGCAACTTTAAGACCTGTGGACTTCAACTCCCAGAATTCCTATGGCTGGCTGGGGAATTCTGGGAGTTGAAGTCCACAGGTCTTAAAGTTGCCGAAGTTGGATAAAGGTAAAGGTTCCCCCACATATGTGTGCTAGTCGCTTCCGGCTCTAGGGGGCGGTGCTCATCTCTGTTTCTAAGCTGAAGAGCCAGCGCTGTCCGAAGACCTCTCCGTGGTCATGTGGCCAATATGACTAAACTTTGATGTAACTTTGATTAGTCAGGAAATGAACTGTTGTTAAATCGAGGACTACCTGTATAACGTTACTGATAGATCCATATAGGTACAGAAGAAGCGAAACCAATTCTAAAGATTCCCAGGGAAACTACTGGGATATGTTTAGATACAGGTAGTCCTCAACGTAGGACCACAACAAAACCCAACATTTCTGTTGGTAAGCAAGACAGTTAAATCAGTTGTGACCCATTTTACAATCTTTCTTCCACAGTTGTTAAATGAATCACTGCAGTTGTTAAGTGAGTAATGTGGTTGTTTAGTGAATCTGGCATCCCCCGTTGATTTTGCTTGTCGGAAGACAGCTGGGAAGGTTATAAATCATGATCATATGACCCCGGGATAGTGCAACAGTCATAAATACATGCCAATTGTCAAGCACCCAATTTTGATCATGTGACCATGGTGATTAGAGGGTGTAAATTTTTTCAACTTTCAATTTCCAAACAGATGTGCTCAAAATTTGTGACACGCCTTGAGGATTGTAAAGATATTTTTGATTGCTTTAATATAATTTAGATGTGCTTGATAAATAACTACATCAATATCATAACTTTTAAACATTTTGGGTTTTTTATTGGGGATGCTGTAACGGTCATCAAAGTCACTTTTTTTAGTGCCGTTTATAACTTTAAAGGATTGTAAGTCGAGGGCTACCTGTATAGGATTTTCTAAAAATTAAGTGTGTGTGTGTGTGTGTGTGTGTGTGTGTGTGTGTGTGTGTGTGTGTGAGAGAGAGAGAGAGAGAGAGAGAGAGAGACAGACAGACAGACAGACAGACAGACACAGAGAGAGAGGGGGAGAGAGGGAAGGAGGGAGAGAGAGACAGGGAGAGAGACAGGGAGAGAGGGGGAGGGAGGGAGGGAGTGCGGGAGAGACAGGGAGAGAGACAAAGAGAGAGAGACACAGAGGGGAAGGAAGGGAAGGAAGAGGGAGGGTGGGAGAGAGAGACAGGGAGAGAGACAAAGAGAGAGAGACAGAAAGAAGGGGAGGGGGGAGGAAGAGAGAGACGGAGAGAGAGAGGGAAAGACATAGAGAGAGGGAGGGAGAGAGAAAGAGAGGGAGGGAGGGGGAGAAAGAGGAGAGAGGGAGGGAGGGAGAGAGAGGGAGGGAGAGAGAGAAAGAGGGAGGGAGAGGGGAGAGAGAGACAGGGAGAGAGAGAGGGAGGGAGGGAGAGAGAGACAGGGAGAGAGACAAAGAGAGAGGGGGAGGGAGAGGAGAGGAGGGCGGGAGAGAGAGACAGTCTCTCCCGCCCTCCCGTCCGAGAGACAGGGAGAGAGAGGGAGGGAGGGAGGGAGGGAGAGACAGGGAGAGAGACAAAGAGAGAGGGGGAGGGAGGGAAGGAGAGAGAGGGCGGGAGAGAGACAGTCTCTCCCGCCCTCCCGTCCGAGAGACAGGGAGAGAGAGGGAGGGAGGGAGGGAGAGAGAGACAGGGAGAGAGACAGGGAGAGAGACAAAGAGAGGGGGAGGGAGGGAAGGAGGGAGGGCAGGAGAGGGAGGGCGGGAGAGAGAGACAGGGAGAGAGACAGAGAGAGAAAGAGGGAAGGAGGGAGGGAGAGAGAGAGGAGAGAGAGAGAATAAGAGATGTCCTGAGTCTTAGAGTGACTAGTAGCTCTTTTCTTCAGTATTTTCTTTATCTGCAGTAGAAGTATCTTATCAGAGCTGTTGTGAATTGTGCAGAGTTGTTGGAGTGATAAAATTGGACTTGGGTAGGTAGAGAGAATCACTCAACCTTTTGAAAGATAGTTCTCAGCTTGTAACAGCAATTGGGTGCTAAACCACAACGTTACGCGATGATCGTGTCACTTAGCGACAGCAATTCCAGCAGTCCTCATTGCTGTGGTTAAATGAGGACCGTACAGGTTGCTAAGCGAGGATTTCACCCGAAGGCAACTTTCAACTTCCTGCTGGCTTCCCCAATGACTTTGCTTGTGGGAAATGGTCAAGGAAGGCCTGAAATTAGGATCCTGTGACTGTGGCTTGCTGCAACAGCATAATCTGTTATGGATCACAACCACATCACCATGAGAATGCTGCAACAGAGAGAATGATGAGGACTAATCATAAGTACCGTTCATTTAGTGCTGTCGTAACTTTGAACAGTTGCTGAATGAATGGTCATAACCCAAGGACTATGTGTCTATTTGAGAGGAAAACTATTATATCAGAATACATTGCTTAGTTATTAAAATTGATAATAAAAGGTAACTAATTCCTATAAATATATATATTCCGATTCTTTTTCTATTCTCTTTCCCCATCCAGGCACAAAATTGATAACAAAAGGTAACTAATTCCTTCTGAACGCATCAAGTGCTTTAATACCCAAAAGGAGTGACAGATTAACCTGTTGCCAAAGAAAACAATAGTGACTCTTAGGGTACTGGAAGATTGATAAATGATTTTTGGAAAGTGTCAGGGGCCAAAGAAATCTTCCTACTCATCTTCTTGGTCTCCAGAACCCCAAGTTAAAGTTCATGCAATCCAAATTCCTCAAGAGTCCTGGATAAAAGACTTACACAGTGATGAACAGAACTACAAAAAGGACCCACCTCTTATTAATTTCCCCCTACCTGAGTCTTGACGTGTTGATCCGGCGCAGTCACCAAACTGGCGCAACTCAGCCAGAGCATCACCATGATGGAAAGGAAGAGACAAGCAGCCAGAATCCAGCGGGGCAGCCCCGAACGCCTATAACACCCACAAGCAGCCACCCCACCCGCCAAAGAGAAGCCACAAGATTAGCAACCCACCACTGCCATGGACAGATGGAGAGAGAGATTCAAAGTATCCATATATATATGCGTAGAGCCACTTTTCCTAGTAATTAAGATTTTGGCCTAGAAACCAGGAGACGGTGAGTTCTAGTCCCGCCTTAACGCACAAAAGTTGGCTGGGGTAACTTTGGGCCAATCACCAGGAGACGGTGAGTTCTAGTTCGCCTTACGCACAAAAGTTGGCTGGGTAACTTTGGGCCAATCACCAGGAGACGGTGAGTTCTAGTCCTGCCTTACGCACAAAAGTTGGCTAGGTAACTTTGGGCCAATCACCAGGAGACGGTGAGTTCTAGTTCCGCCTTACGCACAAAAGTTGGCTGAGTAACTTTGGGCCAATCACCAGGAGACGGAGTTCTAGTTCCGCCTTACGCACAAAAGTTGGCTGAGTAACTTTGGGCCAATCACCAGGAGACGGTGAGTTCTAGTTCCGCCTTACGCACAAAAGTGGCTGGGTAACTTTGGGCCAATCACCAGGAGACGGTGAGTTCTAGTCCCGCCTTACGCACAAAAGTTGGCTGGGTGCAGGGGTGAAATGCTACCAGTTCAGACCAGTTCGGAGAACTGGTAGCGATGGCAGTGCGAGGCTCCACCCACCCACCCGGTCGTTACTTCCTGGTTTTTAACTTCCTGGTTTTAACCAGGAAGTAACCTGTTTTTTACCGTCTGCACATGCGCAGAAGGGTTTGTGCATATGCAGAAGGGTTTGCGCATGCACAGAGGGTCCGTGCGGCGCATGCACTTCCAAACCGGTAGGGAAGGTAAGTAGATTTCTCCCCTGGCTGGGTGCCTTTGGACCAATCACCAGGAGATGGTGAATTCTAGCCCTCCCCTTATGCACAGGAGTTGGTTGGGGTGATTTTGGCCCAAACGCTCTCTCAGTCCAACCCTCCTCACAGGGTTGTTGTTGTGAGGAAAATAAGAGGAAGGAGTATCAGGAATATTCACTGCCTTGATATATTTATGAAGTTATAAAGGCCAATAAAAAATTAATACATCTATACATGGATGACAATTTTTGCCCTATTGCTGAGTGCTGATTAACGGTTGAATTCTAATTTGTACTTCTGCCAATGTTTCATTCTTTATTGTCTAACATTTCACAGAGCTCTTATTGTTTAATTGGGGATCTGACCAGGGGTGTCTGAAGGGGATGATCAGAAAAGTGAAGACGGTGACAGCAACAGTCGAATCGAAGTTCTGCCTGTTTTTTAATCTACACTGATGCAGGGAGAAGGGCGGTATAGAAGTTTAATAAATAAATAAATATTAAAAAAATATTAAAAAATACAGATGGAACTTCCGTCATACTGTCAGAGCTATCAACTTGAGTTTTTAATTTTTTAAAAAAATATGTTTCTCAGCAGGACTACAAAAGATGAACTAAATTACAACCAATAAAGAAACAATGAAAATAAACAGAACTAATAAGTGAAAAAAAAAATTAAACAGAAAAAGAAAAAACAATACTCCAAAAGAAAGAAATTACTGGCGTCAGTCCTTCAATATAACTAAGCTAGAAAACCAAAGTCCTGCAGGCCAATATTTCTTTTATTTTAAAATTATAGGACAGGTAATCCTTAACTTAACAACCATTCAAACTTTGACCATTCAAAGTTACAATGGCACTGAAAAAAAGTGACTTATGACCGCTTTTCTCACTTATGACCATAGCTGCATCGCTATGGTCATATAATGAAAAAACGGTCACTAAACGAATGTTTGTAAGTCAAAGACTACCTGTTTTTTTGGGAAAAAAACCCAAAAGGAAAAAAAGAAGGGAAAGCAGCATTTTCCTCAAGCCAAATGCAGATGTTTGGATTACCCTGCAACCAGGATCAGCTTCACCCACAATTTATCTTGCATCTGATCCAATCCAAATACAATTTTATTCCCCAAACTTTCTCTGTTTCCTTCTCTTTCTAATTACTAAACCACAAGATAAAAAACCCAGAGCGGCATTACTTGGACATGCAGCCCAGGAAATCGTGCTCCAGAGGCATCTGAGACTCCCCCACAGGCTGAGCTGGGGCTGGGGCTGGACTCTTGGGCTCTTCGATGGGAGGTTTCTCCAATTTCTCCTGAAGGCCTGAAAAGAAAATAAATAAGAAATGAGAAAAATAAAAAAGGAAATAAGAGAAACTGGTGACAAAGGGCTCAGCTCAAGCGCCAGCAAGTTTGTTTATTTAGCAATAGCACTTAGATTTATATACCGCTTCACAGTGCTTTACAGGCCTCTTTAAGTGGTTTAAACAGAGGTGGGCTTCAGATCCTTTAGCAACGGGTTCGCTGCCCCGTTGCTGGGTGGGGGTTTTTTGCCCTCCCCAGGCTCCGAAGGCCTTCCTTGAGCCTCCGGAGGGTGAAAACTGCTTCCCCTGGGGTCCGGAGGCTCTCTGGAGGCTGGAAACAGGCCCATTTCTGGACTTCCGGAATCTCCAGTAGGCCCATTTTTTTGCCCTCCCAGACCCTCCATGCGGCCCCTGCTCTTACCTGGAATGATGAACAGGCCATGTGGAGACTCTTGGGTGGGGTGGGGCGGGGCGGGTGTGGCCAGCCAGGCGTGGCATTTGGGGGTTCACCGAACCCCAGCGATCCTTGGCTAGAGGATCGCCCAAACCCTGCCGAACCCCCAGGAGCCCACCCCTGAGTTTAAAGAGTTAGCATATTGCTCCCCCCCCCAACAATCTAGATACTCATTTTACCAACCTGGGAAGGAAGGAAGGCTGAGTCAATCTTGAGCCAGTGAGACTCGAACTGCGGAACTTCTGGCAGCCAGCAGCCTGCAATACTGCATTCTAACCACCGCGCCACCATGGCTAATTTTATTTTATTTTAATTTTTAATTTTATTTATTTCATTTTATTTCTTTATTATTTTATTACATTATTTTATTTTATTTATTGGCATCTTACCATAAGGTAATTCTGGGCAGCTTACAGTTACATCTTAGTTAAAAGAAAGATGTTGAAATCAAACCTTAAAACCAGTGGTGAAATCCAATTTTTTTTAATACTGGTTCTGTGGGCATGCTTGGTGGGCATGGCAGAGGAAGGATACTGCAAAATCTCCATTCCCTCCCCACTCCAGGGGAAGGATACTGCAAAATCCCCATTCCCTCCCCACTCCAGGGGAAGGATATTGCAAAATCTCCATTCCCTCCCCACTCTGGGATCAAAATTTCTGCTACTGGTTCTCCGAACTACTCAAAATTTCCGCTACTGGTTCTCCAGAACCTGTCAAAACCTGCTGGATTTCACCCCTGCTTAAAACCAAAGGCACATGGAGAGACCGGGGGCAGGGCGTGTGGGGAGATGGGATCTGTTATTACTCAATCAACCACCACCATTGCACTGACACCTGTACCAGTTGGTGCTCCAAGCCAACTGGCACAGCTACTTCTTTAGGTCCTTACGAAAAGATAGGAGGGTTGCAGCTAACCTCACATTGGGGCAGGCAGGATGTTCCATCCAGAGGGCAGGAGCTACAGGAGAGAAGGCCCCCCACTCCTGGACTCAGCCAGCTGGAATGATCGGGCTGAGCTGGAATGATCGGGCTGACGGGACCAGCTGTATGCCTCCACTGCTGGCACAGCTGATCCCAGTGGGGTGAGATGATCCTTCAAGTTACCTAGACCAGTGGTGGGTTCCTCCCGGTTCAGCCCGGTTCTCCCAAGCCGGTAGCGGTGATGATATGACGTCACCGAACCAGTTCTGCCAACTGAGGAAATTCATGAGGCAACATCCTTGGACAGGGTAGCCATTGTGCTCTTCTGCTGTTGCTGCCCAACAGCGAAGATTTAATGGATGCTAGCCTGGATTCTAGCAATGTTTCTCAACCCTGGCAACCCTTTAAAATATGTGGACTTCAACTCCCAGAATTACTATAACACCCAACTCGCCAGAAAATTTCTCTGGGGAATTCTGGGAGTTGAAGTCCACACATCTTAAAGGCGCCACGGTTGAGAAATACTGCTTTAGAGAGAGTCAATCACCACTAAGACTCATAGAAATCACTGTGAACCCACTGATTTTGTAGTCGGCGTTTTAAACAGAGTTTTAAATTGGTATCCATCATCATCTTTGATGGCGGCACATGCCACAGTTTAAATCTGCCTTCGCCCAGCTCATATTTATCCTGAATCTTCACGTTACCTGTGTGTGGTTTCAAGGTGTTGGGGGCCGAGACTGTCCAGGTCTTCTCTGAAACCTCTGATTTGGGTGCCTGGGCCTCAGGAATTGGATACTCAACTTCTGGTTGTGACTGTCAAAGAAAGGTAGAGAGGCTCTCAAGCATTCAGGGACATCTTCCATATCTGCTGTATCTTGTTTAAGGAGAACTGACCTTCTGATGAGGGGGTCCCAGGCAAGCATATCACATAAACCATGTTCCAGACCACAGGTTCCTGCAGCTCTTAAGGAATGTGTCTTCTGGAAGCTTAAACCTGAAGTGAAGTGGACAGCTACATTTGGCTCAAAGGATGGGCTAGGTGGCACGCGTAGCCATATTGGTGGGCACGCGAGCTCAGCTCCGGCGCACGCTAGATGTAGGGAAACAGACTGTTTCCTGCTTCCGGAAGCCCTCAGGGTGTTGGGTGGGTGGGGAAAGCCCGTTTTTCTCTCTCTCCAGCCTCCAGAGCCTTTCTAGGAGTCTGGGGAGGGCGAAAACGGCCTTCCCAACCCTCCGGAGGTCCTCTGGAGGCCAGAAACGGCCCATTTGCCAAGTTCTGGTGGGACCAGAAGTTGGCAAACAGGCCATTTCCAGCTTCCAGAGGGCCTCCAGGGGGGTGGGGAAGGCGGTTTTCGCCCTCTCCAGACTGCTAGAAAGGCTCTGGAGGCTGGGGACAGCAAAAAACGGGCTTACTGTGCCATTGCGTGCCAGGAGTGGGGAAAGCATGGGGGGGTTGTGCATGCATGCGCGGGGGCAGGGCGCATAGAATTATGGGTGTCGGCACGCACATGTGTGCCCCCCCCCGCTCCTGGCACGTGATGGCAAAAAGGTTAGCCATCACTGGGCTAGGCTAAGTTTGGCATCCCGCAGGTCGCACTCAAAAGGCGGGCAAGGTTAGGCTCCATTTTGTGATGAGGTTTCAAGGAGGAAAATGGGTAGACGTAGTCCTTGACTGATGACCAGTTGCTTAACAATCAAGTTCCAATGGACCCACCTGGGGTATGTATGACCTGGATTTGAAGTTTCAACAGTCGAAACCTGCCACTCCATAATCATATGACTGCACTTCAGGAACCTGACTGCATTTATGACTGTTTTCAGTGTCCCACGATCACATGATCATGTTTTACGACGAATTTTCCAGAAACTGGCATTTACTTTCAGTTTTCAGCAAAACCACATCTATAGTGAACCGTTAGTTTGCTTAATGATCATCACAAAAAGATCGTAAAATTGGATCCGTCACATGACCAACCCATTCATTCTATGCGCATCACAAGCATCACTCTGATGGCAGGCTCCATTATGGTCCTAACTTGAGGACTACCAGTACTTTCACCATCTGCAAGTCTAAAGGTACTCATTCTGCCTAAGCTTCACCTCACAGGAGAAAAGGGGATAGCAGTTTTTCCTGCCCTCACTCTTATGGCCATAAAAGGAAGGTTTATGAGTCACAAGGAGTGAAGCTCAGTTCAAACATTACAATTTGCTCCAACCATCTTGTTGTGGCCACAGGACAACTTGCCACGGGACAATTCCACGTGAGATAACTATTATAATATTATCCACCCGTTATCTGCCATTTCCATTTTATGTCCCATTTTTTACGGAAATGTCCAGCTCAAAGACTTTTAAATTAATGAATTAGTTTGATTTTAATCTGCTTTGGTCACAGCAGGTGGCAGCACCTAACCAATGTTGGATGATCTTAAAGACTACACTGGGTTGGACCTGGTTTGTACTGGAAAAGAGACCACTAAGAAATCCCAGGGCTCTAGGTTAAACTGGAAAGTTGGGGAAAAATGCCCAAAGAGACAGAAGTAAATTTATTCCATAAATCCTTGCAATTCTATAGAAAGCAAGGATGATGGAGTGGTTTAGGGTTAGGGTTAGGGTTAGGGTTAGGGTTAGGGTTAGGGTTAGGAGGGAGGGAAGGAGGGAAGGAAGGAAGGAAGGAAGGAAGGAAGGAAGGAAGGAAGGAAGGAAGGGCTCCACATAATCATGTAGCTTGCATTTTTACATAAATGTGGTTCTGTTAGTTGAGTTGTAAGTGCTGCAAAATAAACGTTTAATTAGAGGGAAATCACTCTTGCCAGAGATCTGAACAGGTTAGGTTCAATAATGTGTCAACGCCTGCACTTGTGTAACAAACTCAGTTTGGTTAGTATTAAGCTTGAGTTAGGTTATTTTTGTTTACTTGGCTTAACGTGTTGCAGAAATCAAGATCATTCGGTTAATTAGCTTATGGTTCAACATTCTGTGCTAAATAACACGGGTTAAATCAGTAACAGAATATACCATATTTTTCAGTCTATAAGGACCATACATTAGCTTTAGAGGAGGAAAACAAGGGGGGGGGGAAATCTGCCTCTGCCTTCCAGCATCCATCCGGTATTCATCTGGCTAGCGTCCTTGCAGCAAACAACCTGGTCAGCTTCAACATGTTATCGCAGCACCAGCATGTGGCTTATCAGGGCTCCACTCCATTGCGCCCACCACTAGTCAGCTGAGCAACAGCTGGATCCCGGCCTCCCATAGCCCCGCCAATCAGTGGGCTGGTCAACCGGAAATGTGCCATTGCTGCCTCCTCCATGTCTGCTGCCTCCGCCGGGAATGCTGGAGCCTTCACTGCTGAGCAGCTGATTGGCAGTTGAATCAGCCTCCCAGAATACCGCCGATCAGCTGTTCTAGATGGCGGGGAATCACTGCTGCCATTTGCCGCCACCTAATGTTACTGCTGCTGATCACCGCAGCAGCGGCAGCGATAGACAGTGGCGATCCCCGTCACCTAGAATAGCTGATCGGCGGTATTCCAGGCCGATCCACCCGCCAATCAGCTGCTTGGCAGCGAAGGCTCCAGCGTTTCTCGGTGGCAGCAAACAGCGGCGGCAACCCCCCTCCCTGCCACCGCAATATTTGCTCCATAAGACGCCCAGACATTTCCACCCACTTTTTTGGGGTGTGTGAAAGTGCATTTTATAGACCGAAAAATATGGTACTGAGTATTACAAATGCAGTGCCGAATTATAATCAATTAAAAAGAGCCCCCTCCCATTAATTCCTTTCTGATTTAGGTTTCTCATCTACTATTCCTTTCCTGAATCTCTCCCCCCCCCCCCCACTTTTATCATTACTTACCTGAAACACAACTACTTTCCCATCATCTGCCTGCAGATAGAAGGTCCATGTGGAAGAAATAAAACTCTGAGCAGAGCTGACAATATCATTGCAGAAACTGGAGACCAGGTCAAAGACGGAGAAGGAGGCCGGTTTCTCATCTTGGATCTATTAAATTACAAAATGAAATTAGTATGCTTGAACTGATTCCTTTCTTCTCACTCAGGCCCATGAAATTGAAAAGCGCCACTTAAACCAGGGGCCTCCAACCTTGGCACCTTTAAGACTTGTGGATTTCAATTTCCAGAATTCTGGGAGTTGAAGTCCACAAGTCTTAAAGGTGCTAAGGTTGGAGACCCCTGACTTAAATGGTTGCCTTTGGTGAGAATAAACAAGACCCAGGTAATCAGGTCTGGCCTCAGTAATGGGAAAAGATAACTCAGCCTCTTAACTCTGACATGATGTTTTCAGGTAAATGAACAGGTAGTTCTCGATTTACAACCATTCGTTTTGTGACCATTCAAAATTACAACAAATTACACTTTGAAAAACCATTCATGACCATTCATCACATTTGTAACTCTTGCAGCCTCCCCATGGTCACGTGATCAAAATCGAGACGCTTGGCAACTCGTATTTATGACCGTTGCAGCGTCCCGGGATCAGGTGATCCCCTTTTACGACCTTCTGACAAAAGCAAAGTCAACGGGGAAGCCACATTCACTCAACAACCGCTTTACTAGCTTAACAACTGCAGCGATTCACTTAACAACCATGGCTAGAAAGGTCATAAAATGGGGCAAAACTCACTTAACAATTGTCTTGCTTAGCAACTGAAATTTTGGGTTCAATTGTAGTTGTAAGTTGAGGACTACCTGTACAAGTGAGGAGGAAGAGCGAGAGTACAGATAGTCCTTGACTTACAACTATTCAAACAACGGCACTGAAAAAAGTCTCTTATGAGCGGTTTTCACACGACCCTTGTGTTTTCCCACGGTCACATGATCAAAATTCAGGCGCCTGACAACTGGCATGAGTTTATGACAGCTGTACTGTCCCGCGGTTACATGATCACCAATCTTCCCAGCTGGCTCCTGACAAGCAAAGTCAATGGAGGAAGTCTGATTCACTTAACAGCTACATAATTCACTTAACAACTGCAGTGATTCACTTAACAACCATGGGGAAAAAATATCATAAAATGAGGCAAAACAACAACTGTCTTGCTTAGCAACAAAAATTTTGGGCGCCATTGTTGTCTAGGTTGAGTACTACGTATATTAAGGTGACCAGACGTCCCGCTTTTGGCGGGACAGTCCCGCTTTTGAGCAATTTGTCCCGCGTCCTGCGGCGTTTTAAAAAAGTCCCGATTTTTCATTCTGCTCCTGACTCCCGGCTGCCTCCTGAATCCCCGCTGATGGCTAGAGGGAAAAAAAAGTCTTTAAACTCTTGCCGCGGGGCTTCAAAGGGCCGACCTACAGCTGATCAGTGTTAAAAAAAAAATGAATAGACCCATGTCTGCAAAAATAGAAAAAACAGCCCCTGTTAACAGCTTCCGCTAGGTTAATTAGCTGCAAAAAGCTGCAAAAAGTTCCTGGAGCAGATTTCCCCCCCCCCTAGCTATACTGAAAACAAAGGCGAAAGCGAAACTAAACCTGCAAGGTGACAAAACGAGGCAGAGAGAGATTTCTTTCTTTTTCTTTTTCTTTTTCCTCACCAAAAAAGGTAGGTACAAAACTGCAAACAATGGGAAATTTTGGGCAAAAGAGGAGAGTTCAAGATTTTAAAACACAAAAGAAAAAAAGCTCTATTTAACTAGGGAATTGTAATAATTGAGATACTATTAATAATTGTATATTGTGTTGAAAGCAGAAATGGTTAAGTTGTGGTTTGGGAGGAATATATGGGGGAAATTATTTGGTTTATTATTATTGGTAAATATAATTAATTGATTTGTAAGAAATTGGATTGCATGGAAATAATTGGAATATTCATGTTCATATTGATTAATATACAAAAAAGATAGTTATATAACTAATTGATTTATATTAAATGTTGAATTTGTATTAAACAACTGTATTACATAATTACATAATTAACCAATGTGAGGATGGATATAAAAATAGATGACAATGGGAAGGGGTATAATATAGAATAGAAGGGAAAAATTGAATTTGATTAAGATTAGAGATGAGGATGAAGGGTAATATTGTTTTTTTAAAAAAATAGATGAGGAATAAATATGGCAAAAAGGAAATATAGAAATTGTAAATTTAATTGAAATGACTAAACGCTGTTTAAATTTGTGAACCAGCCAAATATTCTGTTCAAAGAAAATACATTGTATGTTTGTATGTGTGTTTCTAATTATTGCTATTTATTCATATTTGTTCTCTTTTATTCTTTAAAGTTTAACAATTCATTCTTAATCTTAATATCTTTATATTTGCTTGGGGTTGGCTTTCTTCCCTTTCATCTTTTTTATTGTACAGCAATCTTTCTCCTCAAACCTACCACCACTCTCTTTTCTTTCCTTCTTACTTTCTCTTCCCCCCACCCTCTTTTTCTCCTCCCTACTTCCTCTTCCTTTCTCCTTCTCCTCCTCTCTTCCTCCCTCTCTTACCCTCACTCCTACTCTAATTTCCATTCCTTCATCCCTCTCTATTGCTGTATCCTTTAATGCATATGGACTACTCAGAGGGCTGAAAAAGTTATTTTTGACTGGTCCTCACACTTTTGACCAGTCCTTGAACTTACGACTGTCCTCACATTTTACATTTTTGCCCTATCTTGTCATCATGGTGAAGAGAAGCAGTTGTGAAATGAGTGACATGGTTGTTAAGAATGCTGCATGGGCATAAATATGAGGATGGTCATAAGTGTGAGGACCAGTCAAAAGTGCGAGGACCTATCAGAAATGACTTTTTTCAGCCCTCTGGTTAGTCCTTTTGTGCATATGGACTACTCAGAGGGCTGAAAAAGTTATTTTTGACTGGTCCTCGCACTTTTGACCAGTCCTCGAACTTACGACTGTCCTCACATTTTACATTTTTGCCCTATCTTGTCACCATGGTGAAGAGAAGCAGTTGTGAAATGAGTGACATGGTTGTTAAGAATACTGCACGGGCATAAATATGAGGATGGTCATAAGTGTGAGGACCAGTCAAAAGTGTGAGGACCTGTCAGAAATGACTTTTCAGCCCTCTGAGTAGTCCCTATACACATAGCCATGGCCACCCGGTCACATGACCAGCTAGCCACGCCCACCCAGTCACATGGTCTCCAAGCCACGCCCACACAATAAGTCACGCCCACAATGGTGTCCTTCTTACCAATGTTAAAATCTGTTCACCTTACCCTATACACATAGCCAGGCCACCCGGTCACATGACCAGCTAGCCACGCCCACCCAGTCACATGACCAGCTAGCCACGCCCACCCAGTCACATGACCAGATATCCACGCCCACAAAATAAGCCACGCCCACAGTGTCCCTCTTTACCAATGTTAAAATCTGGTCACCTTAACGTATATCCTTAGTTAGCACAAAACTCTTTAAGTTGGCTGAAGAGGAAGAACTCCGAAAAGGAGGGTCAGTAAATCTGGTCTATCATTAGTTCTAATAGAAGTGAGATCTAACAGATTAACAGAGTTGGAAGGGGCCTTATAGATCAGAGGTCCTCAAACTTTTTAAACAGGGGGCCAATTCACGGTCCCTCAGACTGTTGGGGGCCCGGACTGGCTATGGGGGGGGGCGTGGCTAGGTAGTCATGTAACTGGGTGGCCGTGGCCAATTTAGCAGTCCATTAAACAACACACACAAATTAAACTTTAATTTGTTATGCTCCTGAGAGTGGAAAGCAGGTTACTGAAGGGATGTGGCTGTCTTGGTGTGTGTGTGTGAGGGATTCTGTTTGTGTGTTTGTGTATGTGTGTCTTTCTCTCTCTCCCTCCTTCTCCCTCTCTCTCTCTCTGGAGGCCGAGGAGGCCAAAAACAGGCCATTTTTGGCCTCCTTGGCCTCCAGAAGGCAGGTGGGGGTAGGTGGGGCGATGTGGGCGGGGCAGCCTCGTGGTCCTGCGTGGTTCGGATTAATGGTTTTGACAGGCCGTATCCAGCCCATGGGGACGTAGTTTGAGGACCCCTGTTGTAGATCATCTAGTGCAACCCCTCCAACACCATTTCTGACAGATGGCAGCCCAGTCTCTTCTTGAAAGCCTCCATCTAATTTGGCCCGTCCAAATAGTTGTGTTAGAAGGAGACAACATAGGCTTAGACAACTTAGAATTATGCCGCCTTTGGACTGACCTAAGCGTGGCAGATAAAATTATCTGCCACAATGTCCTACCTGTCAATGACTCAACCGCAACAATACACCAGCACACAATAGATACCAACTTAAGGTAAACCGCTCCAAACTCGATAGCAGAAAATACGACTTCAGCAATGCCTGGTCAATGCCTGGAATGCACTATCTGGCTGTGTGGTCCCTTCCCCAAACCCCCAAAACTTTAACCTTAGACTGTCTATTGTTGACCTCACCCCATTCCTAAGAGGTCTGTAAGGGGTGTGCATAAGCGCACCAGCGTGCCTACCGTCCCTGTCCTAATGTCCCCCTTTTATTTATATCCATTTCATTTATTCATAATCATGTTTATACTTATATCTGTTATCTAATACATGCTTGACTAAATAAATAAATAAATAAATAAATAAATAAATAAATAAATAAATAAATAA